TTTTTTTTCTTCTTTAAGGGGCAGGGGCATGGAAAAAATACAGCACACTAATGAAACAAAATGCAAAAAATACAAAAAAATAGAAAATAGAAAAAATGTATTTACAAGTGATACATTACTATGAGGGAAAAAAAAAAAAAAAAAAAAAAAAAAAAAAAAAAAAAAAAGACACCCCCCCCCCCCCCCCCAAACGACCAAGGTTGGGTTTGAACTTTTTTCTTCCCTAGTTTGCTACATTGATCAAAATCGAATATCCCCTAAAGTCCAGGAGTACAGTCAGTACAAATACTACACTTGTTTTTCAACTGCAGGTTCAGTTGTAGGGGGGGGACAGCAGCTCATTGTAGATCCATATACAAGAAAGCCATCGTAAACTTCTCTACATGCTAAAAATTACAGCAAGCCCCTGTCTGCTACATAGCATGATCTTAGCAGGTTTTCCTTTTTATTTATTCATATATATATCTATATGTGTGTATATATATATGTATAAAAATCGTGCCCTTTTTCACTGCAACATGACATCTGGGTGGAAATGTAACTTGTTACAACAAATTTTTATATGTATACTGCAAGAAGTCACTCAATGTCTGTGGATTTAATAAGTAACCTCACACCACAGGAAATATTTAATAAATCAAAAAAAAAAAAAACCCCCAGTATTGTGACAGAAGACCTTCTGTCTCAGTTCTTTTCAAAACCGAAGTCCAGCAGGAAACTGGTCCCAATGTCCACGAGGGTTCTCTGAAGCTTCAGTTTGCTTAACGGTTTTTTCTTTTAGTGTTCACAAGTTTTTGAACGACCTCAAGTCGTTTTCAGTTTCAAGTCTGTCTCTTCCTCTCTCACACAGGTAATAGCCTGGTACTAATCCATCCGAGCGAGGAAAAGAGGAAAGTGGCTGCAGTTGCACAAAGGGTCCCCAATTCCACATCTGCAGGGAGATACGGAGTCACACGGAGCTCCAGGGTCTTAGTTTTTTTTCCTTTTCCTCCTTCTAATACAAAGTCCCTTCATACAAGTCCCGTAATTGGTACCTTCCCAAGTACCAGCCAGTCCAGCTTTAGGAGACAACAAAGCCACAAGTTAAAGTGAAAAGGACCAAGGCAGAAGTTCAGGTCACTTCCTGTCTGTTCCATCATACCTCCAGGAAACGGGAGCTGCTGGACTTGGAGTGGAAAGGCTCAGACCACATGCGACGTAGATCGCCCTAGGCAGGAAAACAGCAGAAGGACCATGCCCTCAGAAACTCTGAAGTCCACTTAGAATTCAGATTTTAAAATGCACATATAATTGCAAGCATGTCTTAAAGCAAATCTATCCTTCACCTGTTCTGCAAATTACAGTACGACAGTCCTGGCCCCGTCAGGCCAGAACGTCTTTGTTTGCAGCAGATCGACCTAAAAGGGGTTCCTGATGGGGAAGGAAGTATTTATGCAGGTGGAAAATTCTGCCCTTTCTTACACTCTGCTCTGCAGAGCGCTCGATGTGTGTTTTCAACAACAGCCCTGCATTTTAAAATTTCAGAGCAGGTGACTGGAAAGAGGTAAACAAGGATCTGCCTCTCCAATCTCCGTTCGACCTTTGTGCACACATTCATTCATGACCAGCTGGGCGAGGACAAATTCACTTATTTAATTAAACCAGTATTTAATTCTTCAGCATTTGGTTAGTTTGTAATTACTGGTACTTCACGTACATATTTCAGGAACTCATCTCTCAGTTACTCAGTCCTCCAAAATGAAGATTCACCCCGACAGCAGCGGTACCTTTGTTCTGGGCCAGGGCTGTTACGGACGCGCGTCATCCGCATGAGAACTGGCGCCCAGCGCAAGAGCATGGAACCCGCTGCCAGCTGACCCCAGGGCTTCCTGCTGCAAATACGTAATCCTGTCTTACCTTTAAATAGGCCATGGTGAGGAGCGGCAATAAAGTAAAAGGTACCAAATAGAGCAGGGCAGGCTGGGCTGCCCGGTGAATACGAGAAGCTACTGTTGCAGTTAATAGACCTGTAAAAGAAAGAAGTGACTGTAAACGCCTTTAGGTTGCGTATGGATGTTCTAATCATTTCATCCCCACGTGGCTCCCTTCCCCACCATTTTAAAGGACGGGCTGTGGAAAAGTTACTTATCTGTGCTTCACTTTCCCTGAACAGATGTAAAACAAACAAAACCGTGAAAAAATACTCTATTTTAATATTAGGCTGTGTTGAGCCACTTGCTCCGGTTTTGAATCTCAAAGACAAAGCTAAGAGTACCTCAGACAAAACACAACAAAAGGCGAAGGGGAGGCAGCTGAATGTACCCCACTGAAGTGCTACTCCAGTGCTGGCACCTCTTGAGACTGAGGCCCCGGCCTGAGGAACGGGGGGCTGAGAGGAAGGATTGTACACGCCAGGAATGATTTTCCTGGATTCTTGCCGTAAGGGGACGTAGTGGGAAAGATGAGGGGGGAGGAGGAAGGCTATTGGTATGATCGTTCCTTTTCATCCTCAGAAGAGCTGCAGGTCAGGATATGCACACACATGTCCTGACCGTAGGGAAAAAATCTATTTTATGTTAGGGAGGAGAGGGATGACTACATCAAATCAAAAACAGCATTCCAGTTGTGACTACTTACGATGTTCTGTATGTACTAAGATGTCGCAGGATCATAAGCATTAACAGGAGAATACAGAAATGCCAGAATTGCCTAGATTAATTACCTAGGTGTACTCTTACGCAGCATAAGGCATCTGGAAGCTCCCATGTTTCCCATAACCCAGGTATGAGCTACGACACCTTCTATGCTAGTAAAGCAAAGCCTAAAAAGTTGCTAACAATAATACACTGATAATCTCTTTCATCCTCTAAATAAAATACAACAACAAAAAAATCATAAATAGAAAACTGCAGAAGGCTTTTTCTCCCTAGACCACGCCAATGAAACCCAAAGAGAGGAGGATTAAAAAGGAACATAACCAAGTGTTCTCTCAAAGCCTCTTTATGCTTGCTTTCATCATCTTTTAAACCTACTACAATAATCCCACTTCTGCTCACTAAGCAGCTGTCCACATTAAACTAATTACTCACCTACAAAATATCCAATAAGTGTGCAGTGAAAGTAAGAGACCTTCTGCATACGTCCAGAGATGTTCCCTGGTCCTGGGGCACCACAGGAATCGCTGTTGGCTTGCTTTTTGTAGTTGTCGTAACGCAGAACAAAGCAGAGCAGAAGACCTGGCATCACAATGTCTCCGATCCCCAGCATGGAGAAGTGGCTGCCTGTGGAACTGGAGAGCAGCTGGAATTGGGTTCGTGCCCAAGACAAAAGGGGACAAGCTCTAGCCTCCTCCACTTCGGTTCTGAGCTTTGTTTTGCACATCCCTTCTTTCTACTGGCAAACTTTTATGTAGTAGAAGCTAAAAGCTGGCTTCTGAATATTTTTTTTCCTCGGTGATTTCACCACCACCTCAGCTCAGTTTTAAACATACAGACATGTTGTTCCAAACCAGTTTGTTTCTACCAGTCGTGTTTAAGCTGCTTTTGCTCTTAACTGACTCAATGAAACAGGTCCCTCAGCTCAGTACTTCAGTCTTCTCTCTTCTAAGCGCTGATGGGAGGTACCAGCTGACCACTTCATCAAACCGTTTGATTAACACTGACAGACACTGCACTTCATTCCCGTGTACATAGATCACCTCTAATAGCAGGTGATACATCACCTTATGGACTTCTCAGGTCTTTGGCATCATTCAGACAAAGCACGTGGCAAATTATAGTCTCACCAGACTCCCAGAAAAGAGCAAATTGCTGAGTAGATTAAGAAATAAAATTGCCCATTATCTTAAAGCCAAGATCTTTTTCATGAAAATGAAGCCAAATCAAGTTATCGCAAAGTTGACAAAATGAACAATTTTGTCTTTATCATGGCAGACAATCAACTCCTAATCTCTGTAATTTCAGCATCCCAACATCTAAAGAAACAAGAACAGAGCAAATGTGCCACCCTGTCCTACTGCATAACTGCTGGCACGCAGCAGCGGACTGCCCAAGCAGGCCCAGGCATAGCTGGTTCAAAACCTGAGACGTTGCAGAACCCCTGCAGTAGAGAGATGTGGAATAATCTCCCTCCAACACAGCACGTACCCAGTAAGCTGTCCTTGCTTAGAACAATTTCTAACTCCCTTCCCAATCATTTGCAATTACGCAGTAATCAAGACTATTCTGATGTTATAATAAACCTCAGGTCTTTTGCCTTTAAGCAGTAGGCCATAAATCCTACAACAGCAGTCATTAAACTGTAGAACTCACACGTATGTCGAAAAGCACATCCTGTTCTGCACAGGCCGCCTTTTAACCTAATGAGGATCGTTTCTGCATGCAAATGTCAGCAAATGCAAAATGTCCAATCCTCACTACTCATGACGTACCTTTTTATCACAAAGAGGGAATGACTAAACAGGGAACTAAGCTGGTATTTTCCAATAGAATTAGTGCTACTAAAAAGTACAGGAGGGAGGGAAATTTTTTCTTATATAATACAGTAGAAGAGCTGCTGATTTTACCTTGGAAATACAAGTTTACCAGGCAGCGACAGACGGGGAACATCTCTACCCACATTTGGTCCCAGGTGAAGTTTCCGGGATAAAACGTCCAGGGGGTTATCAGCTGGTTGTGTGGCCACTTTCACCATAACATTGCTGTTAAAGATGTAGGCAGAAAAAAAGACCTATGGAGCAAGGAAATAATCAGAAATTACAAACTGCAATTATATAGCAACATGTATTTTTGCTTTGCTTATTCAAGAAAAGAAAGGATCTTGTCCAAATTTCCCACATATATACATTGTATATATGACAATAAAAGACAAAATGTATTTCAAAAATTCACATGAAGTTTTTTACACTATTAATCCTCAAGAATAACTGGAATATACTTTCTGATATCAAGATATTGATCAGTATCTTGAGATCCTTTGGCAAAGGATCTGTCCAGACTACAAGTAGGTAGCCCAGGACTACAAAGGCAGGTAATAGGATTCCAAAAATATGAGAAAGCTTGAAAGCAGAGAAGAGGCAAGTGCCATGATGCAACGCTTGTTTCAGACAGGCTCTTACGCCACAGCTCATCACACTGGGGAACTGACTGGCTGCCAGAGCTGTCAGCAAGCGCTGCCCTGGATCAGCGCTTGGTGTTGTGTGAAGGTAAAATAAAATCCTTTCAGTATTACAAAATATATTCTGTCAGGTTTCTTGTAAAAGCGCGGTAAGGTTTTATGCCAACCTTCCTGGCTATAAATCAGTTTGCATTCCCGTTTTGCAGATTTCACTGCTCATCGGAAGTTGGCACGTGCGCACAGTGCAAGCGTGGATAAGGATTTGTCTTTACTTGGAAATGCTTGGTCTGATCTTCAACCAGGCTTTCAAAATCTGAGGTCCAATTTCTTTTTTAAAATAATATGCCAGAGTTGAAATATTCTAATCATGTTTCTGCTTTTGTCAACTAATTAGTGAGGAAATCATTCTGTATCCTGCTGCAGACTTTTAACGTCTCAGAACGGAGCAATGAAGCTGACCTTCTGGCTTTGCCAGATTTCATCAACTTCATACTAGTAGAGTTCATGTAAAAATGGCCCAAGGCCAATTATAAAGCCAAAGGATAAAAACAGTTTTAGCAAAACCAAACAAAACACTTACCCAAAAGACATCATAAATTAGTAACCCAGAGAGTAGCAAGCAGGAAACCTTCAGGCTCGGCAGCCGAACAAAGGCTATCATTGCAACACACAGGCCCATAGCCAGAGCTACAAAATGCAAGCACATAATTAGTTCATTAAAAATAGCAAAACAAAAAAAACCCCAAACCAACCCCAAGCCAACACCTCCCCCACAAAAAACACCCCCAAAGAAGCCTCTCTTTGCACCTGTGCAGCACTGCATGCACTAGATGACTGTCTGCTGTTTCCAGATAGTGAAATTCTTCTTACCAGAGGTCAGAGAAGTCAAAACACATTCAGTAGCCAACTGTGCACGTGCTCCCAGGGAAGCAGAAATCCCTCTGCGGGCCCAACTGCCCATTCCACTCAACCTCCGCTACCCACCACAAAGAAATATTTTCATGTCTTGTGTCCTAGAGACTCTTATCTCCCCTATGAGACACTGACTACCCCATTAAAAACGGAAGCAACAAAACAACTTGGAACTCTTTGTGCCCCAAACATAAACCTCTACTTTTACACTATTAAGAGGTTTTCTAGTAAATGCATAAAATAAATAAAATCCTTGACTCTTAATTCAGAAATAGCATGGTTACATGACATGTTAGAACATGACAAAAGCCTGCTCAAACCATTTTTCTGCTCGGGCAAGATTGTGTAAGACTGCCCAAACACTAACTATGAAATATTATCATTCAGATAGACAGGGATTTCCCAATAACAAAATTCTGAGTGAAAGCCTACCTACCAAGGGGGAAAAAAATACGGGCAAGTCTTTTCCCAACCCCTCTCCCAAGGGCGAGTTTCCAGCCAGATCAACAAGCTGAACAACATGCCGCAGCTCAGGCGTTAGTTCCATTCCAAGGGGAATTTTGTCAGGGTACGAAACCAAGATGCTACACTAAAAAAAAATAAAATCCTAGTCTTCATATTTGTGTGATTTCCTGCTTCTTTAAGCCTAGCCTTAGCTACCAAAGGTACTCAACTGAAAATCAAATATATTTCAACTGCTTACAAGCAAATCCCTAAGAGATACTTAAAATTAAAAAATAAAAAAATTTTAGAAGTAAATCAACTTTCATCTATGATATCAGTATATTTACAATAATAATGGAGCCCTGTTGGGACCAGATTACACTTAAGTATGCAGACATTTGTAACCCAAATCTGTTTGTCTAATATGGCGCAGAATTTGTAAAAAGTTCTAATCCTGTTTTGACCAACCGAAACTGCAGGGAAAATTGATTCTTTACGTATATGCCCACAAGCGCGACAACTCAACTAAGCCAAAATTTACAAGTAAACCATTGGATTCTCACGCTATAATTATGCGACTGTAAAACTACCTTATGCTTGCATTTCACCTGCCAGACGTGGAGTTCCTCCATCAAAACGCTAAGGTAACATTTCCATAGAGATTCAAGGGAAAAAAGTGCCACCAAAGGCCTGCCAGCGTGGCGGTGTGCGGCGCCCAGGGGCTGCATCCCAGCAAACCCACCTTATCTTTTGAGAATTGTGTCATGGCTGCCAGTTTTAACAAAGTAATGGGATTACTCAGATAAAAATATATCCTAAATCATGCTGCAAAGCTGTAAGTAGCTATAAAATGTAAGCAAATTATTGAGGTTTAAAGAATTTGTCACAGCAAAGCAGTGAGAAAAAGAACTGCATTCAGTAATTCAATATTAGCCTTCAGTTACAGACTTCCTCTGGCAGAAGAGCAAATACAAGGGAACAGTCTGTCTTAAATCAAAGAGGTTTCTCTAAAGCCAATGTTAATAATAGCTCAAGCAAGCCTATATTTAGGAGAGGATTTCCAGGTTATAATTAACTAGAAGTGGAAATATTTTAACCAGCCTGAAGTTTTATCTACGGTTCACACTCTATTTCTCTGTCACTGAAATGAAACGCAGGCGCACACACAAGACACTTCCATCAAACTGAGCAAATACCAGCTAGAAAAGGAGATGGAAAAAAGTCCTTCAGGTGACAGTGAAATACACGTGCTAATAACTACGCAGTTTTGCAACTGCTTTAAGAAATATTGGTAAATTTAAAAAACAGAAGGGAAGCAAGAATGCCCGAGAGCAAATACGAGTAATACAGGCCGAAGTGCAGCGAAGCCACAAAGAAGCTTCTCTCTAAATGGAAGCCGGCTCCTGCTCCAATGAAAAAGTCCAGAAATCATCTGAGAAACAAAGTCATCCATAGCCAAGCTGATGGATGGCACTGACAAACTACGTAAGGCATTGAAATATACTCCAAATCGGTTAAAAAAAAAAAAAAAAAAAAAAAAAAAAAAAAGAGAGCACGAGAGAGAAATAAAGGAAGGAAAAAAAGGTAAAATGGCCACACAAATGGTAGCTCTGGGCTGGAAGTGCTGGGCGGTGGGTCCACAGAGCTGAGTAAGAAAGAACTAACTGAAAGAGTTAACCTTCAATTAACAGAACTAATTAACTTTTCAGTCCCTGCAAGCACACTCCTTACGGAATAAGGGTATTCTGAGGATTAAGAATATTCCTGCATATGTGATTGGGCTCTCCGGGTGCAGCTTTACTGCACCACTGCATCCAGAACTGATGAAACCACCAAGATGCTGGTGGCGCGGGGCCTGGTGCACAAAGCATTGTGCAAGCTGGCAAGGCTTAAACTTCCCCCGCAGGCCGCCAGTTGACCTTTGAAAGAAACAGGCACTGAAGTTCTGAGCAAATCATGTTCCTATAAAACTCTCAAAGTGTATTTTAAAGAGTGGGAACAAGAATACATGAAGTAGCCTCTGCCCGACTGGCGCAGCAGTTAAGGTCTGCAGCAGTTCCCAGGATACCCGTGACTGTTCAGTTCACTCTGTAGCTATAGATAGACACTGCACACATCTATAGCATTCCCACTGTACATCTCCAGCTATGTCCACTACTTAGGAAAACATTTAGCCAGGATTTACCATCCTTGATGATTCTGTCATCAAACAATCCACCCTGAGAAATAAGCATTTCAAGAGCTATAAATGTACATAATCACATGCCAGAACAACCCCCTGGAGACAACTGTCTGCTCATTCTACCCTGTAAAATGCCCCTGGCTTTAGAAACAGTTCAGCCAACTACTGTGCAGACGGGGGAATTGTAGTATTTGAGCAACGAAGCCTGTTCTGGCAGGAACTGCCTTACCTCAATTTTGTAAGGACTGGAAATTATCGTGAAGTATTTCCCCTCCTTTTTACTCAGCTCTAAAGTAGAAAAACTCTCTCATTAAGAGCAAATCAGCTACACAACAACAAACCACACACAGAAAAACTGAGGTGTCCTGTTAAGAAGAAACACCCACACCACGCCGCTCTCCAGCCGCCGGCCCAGGCGATGGCAAGCACGTTCACAACATCTGCTTCATTTTCTGCCGACCACGAAACAGAAGATCATCCCCGTGCAAGCGGGGAGGAGGAGTTAAGATGACAGCACACCCGGCAGCTGGCAGGCGCTGGCTTACAGACAGGCAAGTGCTCGTCTTGCATATATCACCAAGCAGTGCTTATTGCCCACATTTCCCTCCAAACAAGATTAATTGGGGTCTTAAGTATTCAGTTCCAGAGAAGCAAAGGGTCAAGGCAGAGATGATGTGATTCCAGTTGCAGCAGTAGAGTATGAGGAACAAAACTGCAGAGTCTGTTTCCCTGACGAAGCCCAATAAATGCTGTTCCCTGTTCAATGTCACTGACAAACATTGATTTAATTGGATTTGAACAAACAACAGGAGGCTTACCTATACAGTACAAGCACTCCTAATATAAACTCCATAAAATACTCCAAAGCTAGATGGTATCAACACCATTCAGTAAATCATAAACAACCACCAAGAGAAATAAAACCCAGAAACCACTCTGCACCAGTAGTTCAGTACTCTGCAGATTAATTACCTCACAGCCCACTATTTCAGACTGAAGTGCTCACAAAACCAGCTATTTTTAAGTAAATGCATCTGTCGATATCTCCATGTGGACAAGTCTTTTCAAATTTTGCCAAAATCCACACTTGACGCTCCATTTAGCTTTGTAGCTACTGCATGATCTCATGGTGGACTACTCACTTAACACAAACATCATCCGCATTTTTTTCATTTAGTATCTGGGTACTCTAAAAGCTATTCCCTGACATACAACAGGTGGAAATTTTTTTCATTTAGTATCTGGGTACTCTAAAAGCATGACATACAACAGGTGGAACTTCTAAAGTAGCAAAAGCATGAATGAAACATAACGCCTATATACAAAAGAAATAATCACGGTGCCACGAGAGGTTTCAGTGCTAAGGACTTTCTGCCGCTGCGATCTCATTTAGGAGCTGGAAAGCTGATGGAATGTATATTTTCTATTGGAACAAACAATTTCAAGGGCAGATATTGTTGTCCCAGCTATTTTTCCTCAAGCAATCACCACCTCAGAGTGCCATTTCATGAGATGTCCCAAGCCAATTTAGCTGCCCAACACTGCTGAGAAGCGTAGGTCCTGTTCCAGGCTACCTCTTCATCACTTTGCTATCACATCCACTCCGTCCTCTCAGATCCCATCATGCTGCAACTTATCTTTTGCCAAATTTAGCACATACCTGACTGCACAATAATCCAATTCATCTCACTGCAGCAGCAGAAAAATAGCCTGGCAAAAAAAAAAAAAAAAAAAAAAAAAAAATAAGCTGCCATTCTAGTGAGTTGAATCAGTTTACCACGTGATTAAGTAAGTGCCAGAGCAGCACAAGAGATTTGAGAAGCAGGAGGGGAGGAGGAGAGCTCCTTTTGGAACAGTAAAGCTGTGAATTCAGTTCAACCAGCATGAAAAAAAAAAAAAAAGTCACACCTTCAAGCCAATTGGATGCCTGCCAGCTTCACCCATCTCACCATCCTGACTGGCAAGCATCAAAGAGATCAAAGACAACCAGCTACTGTGAACTGTCTCACAACAAATTATTTGATCATCTGAACCAAAAAGCAACAAGATGCACAGCAAAAATTAACCAGACTGTTAAGATCAAGTTATGATTCATAAACAACCACTGTCTCCACACATCTTTAACTAAAACTGGTGATCCACCCTACACCACACAGGTGTGGAACATCCTTCATGAGCATTCTGGCACTTCCTTGGAAGCTTTTACAAACCAGAAAAACAGGTGTCCCAAACATTACCCTGGCATGTTCCTGACAGCGGTTGTTTTCAGGGAGTCTACCACACAATATTACAACTCAGCAAACCACTGGGATTAGCAAGTTTCACCAATCATCACCAGGTGACTGGATGTGTCAGAACAGGCACAAACTAGTAGCAAAATCCCATAATTCACATACTCACCATCCATAAGGAGCCAGTGGCCAGTTAGGACCCAGATAAGGACAAGCATCACAGACAGAGAAAATGAGAGCAACTCAGCAGCAGTGAAACGCCCGCAGCAGCCAAAGGAAATCCTAGAAACAACATATAAACATTAGCTCGAAGACTTTATGTTTCCATTTAAAGAACAGAAAATGGATGCTGTTGGAAAAAGGCTCAACTGCTGATGAAAGATGCCAGGAACAACTGAAGGGAAGTTCCTTTGCCACAAATAGGTACCAAAACAGCAACAAAATAAAAGTTTTCCTCACATTCAAATAATGTGTGTAAAGCCTGAACTACAGAGATGGAAAACACCCTGTAAATCCTGGCACCTCTCTTGAAATTGTTACTGTGAATGCCATTTCCTAGTACCATCTAAGACAGTGCTTTTCCAACATGAACTCCAGTCACACGGTAAAAAAAAAATTAGTTTCAAAACATGACATTAACAACTGTAATTTTCACCAGTGTAACCACAGTGTCTAAAAGAGACAGCATTAAAATCCATAGTCCAACGTCAACAAACATTAAAATTCAATACCAAATCCCAAACTCTGAAATCTCAGACAAAATAAGCCAAACTTCTTAAAAAACACTGTTGGGAAATCGAGTCCCCTGCAATGGTACCACATTTCCCAGGCTGGCAAGCATGCGTGACTTGTAAAATTGTGCTTCCTAGTTTCAAAGTGGAAAACATGGTGTTGGCACAAAAAATACGCACAAACATCAGTTCTGAGGTTAATGCTCGTAACCAAAGACTCTGTTAAAGAATTCTCATTAAAAGAGCAACACACAAGAAGAGGAGCAAAAGATTTCTCAAGTCCTTACTTGTTTTGAGGTGAACAAGGCCGTGTTAAGTACTGGCACATCGGGAGCAGAAGGAAAGCAAAAGCTATTGTTGCAAGGACTAGAAAAAGAAGAAAAGGTAATATTAGTACATTCAGACCCAATTTCTACAGTACACAAACAAGTTTCTCCAATTTGAAAAAGCTCTTGCAACAATGTTCTATATCATATGCTGCACTATTATTAAAGCAAGAGCAGCTGAAGGCTCCAAGGTTTTCTGCAGAACTTCTGTTGTTTGTATGCTTTCAAACTTCAATCACAATAAAAGCTCTCAAAGGAATTCAATGCCCCATCCCCAAACCTTAAAAAAAAAAAAGTCTTAAAGCTATTCATGATCATGTCAGCAAAAAAACAGCTTTCAAATATTCCGAGTCAAAAAAAAAACCAAACAACTGACTGCAAACTGGGTGAGATTCTTTTAAAATTCTTCAACATATGACAGACTAAGTCAGCATAACAAAATTTTTTTTCCCACTTTTAACTAAGATAGTCACTTTTTCCCTCCATCTCACTCAAACCCCTTTATTCATTACTGAAACACAGCACAACTTAAAGGAAGTTGTATCCAGTAGCTGGCAACTTAAGATTTTTTAAAATACACAGTGCTTTAAGTTTTTGAAAACAGGACAATAAAAATACATAAATATTCAAACAGACTATTTCCATCAACATTTTCTTTTTTAAGAAGCATACTTATCCCACCCACACATTTGTAAAAACATTTACTAACTGCTGGTATTTATAATCATTTTTCCTTCCCTTTTTTTTTTTTTAAATAATGGCACTGAATTTGTACTAAGAACTGTTTAAAGGCTGAAGAATGAGGCTGTGGAGACACAGCCATGTCACCAGCATGCACCCAGAACTGCTGGAGCAAGAACAGACTGAAATTAAAATGGAAGAGTTGCTTGACATTTTTTGCATGCTGCAAATCAAATCTTTGTGCTGTCCTCTACTCATTCCTTAAAAAATTGGGCTGGTTGTTGGTTTTTAAAAGGGATTTTTTTTTTTTCTTCTCAAATGAAGGTGATGGGAAGGAATCGAACATTCTCTTTAGTACACAGCTTAAGTCGACTGGAGAAAAGAAATTGGTTTGGTCAAACTACATCTTTCCACCCCTCAATTCTGCCCCTTCTGGTGGGAGGAAGATTTTTTTTAAAAAAAAAAAAAGGAAAGAATGAAGAGCGTGGCAACTCCGCACACGCTGAACGAGGAACCTTTTCAGGGGTGCTTGGCAAAGAAAGCCATACAGCAAACCCTGTGTGAGCCCTGCAAGGCCTCGCTGCCTGCCTGCCCTGCTCCCTGGGGACTGACCCTCCCTCAGCCAGACCCACCCACCTCGCCCTCGGCACCTTTCCTTCCCCTTCCTCCCATCCAGCTCTCCTCAGCAGGGAACCCTGCGCCTCCTCACCTGGCATCCCTGGCTGCTGCCACCCCAAAGCTGGGCTCATTCAGAGAGTGTAAGAATTAAAATGTAATCACACTAATACACAGTGCCCACAAGTGCCCAGTCTCAGTCTCGTTCCTGACTGTCCAGGCTTCCAGTCATAAGCTTTCTCGTCCCTCTAGTCTCAATACCTATTATTCATTTGGCAATCCCTTGGCTTAACTCCTGTCTGCAGGCAACATGCCAACTCTTCAGCTCTGCCCTCTGCTTAGCAGCTGGTCCTGGCCTTGGGCTGTTTGCTGTACCTACCCTTGCTCCTGACTTTTCCCTGAAAGGCAAATCTTTGTGGGAAGAAGATTTAAGAGGGGTTTAAGAAACCAGACTTCAGCGATTACTTAGAAGTCCCTCCACATCAGCCTCTAAAATCCACAAAAACAGGATGTGAAACAGCACTACTTGAGCTTCAGGGGACAGAGGGACCAAGGCCCACTGTTCCTGAGTCCAGCAGGGTCCGCATCCTGCCATATAGGCTCTAATGAAGCTTCGCATTTTAGAGGTTCTGAGGCCAAAGTCCCCTGTGCTTAATGACATCCTCTGATGCAAGATGAAGGAAAAGCACAAAAGTATCATAAAACCAGGCTCAAGAATAAAGATACCAAAGTGCACTAATCCAGACTGACTCAATCCTCTTAAACCTGCAACAAGCCCCACTGACAATACTGTCTAATCACATACCACAAATGTTACAAATGAAGTTACAAATGTCAAGGTCACTCTGGAAATAAATGGACAAATTAAAATTTGTCTTTTGCCATAAATCTTCCCTTATAATATCTTTTTTATATGTGTGTGTGTGTATATTCCCCTAATCTAGCATTTAGTAGAATTTATATGAAGTAATAATTTATTTTTAATAGGAAACAATACATGTGACATAGGTCAAAGTTATAAAAGTAGTATTCAACAGAGCTTGACAGGACCGCGCCTCCAGAATGAGAGAGAGGAGTCTCAAGACTTGTGTCAAGAGCAGAGATTTAGATTTCAACCCTCAACATCAGCCCTGTTCAAGAGGCTGGAGAGGATGCGTAGCTCAGGAGTTACATCATGAGGGAAACACCTGCACTGCATATACACAAAGTAGGAGAGCATGAGGGGTGTTTAGGGGCCTAAAAATCTTCACAGACTCAGTATGTGGATTGCAGAGTATGATTTTTAAAAGCACAAATTTGGTGCAGTAGGAAGAATCCTGCTACCCTGAACAGCAGCTGATCTCTTGAGGAACTGCAAAAAGATCAAAAGGCCAAAATTTTCAAAACCATCAAAGCCCTGGTATTTACTGAAATGACAAAATGACATTTTTGTTCTAAATTCAAGCAGTGCAAAAGAATAATACTCAAAATGCTGGTGAGACCAGGAGTACCCTTGAAACAAAGAAAAACAGCGTAACAGCAAAAACCAAAATTAAACTAGGAAAAGAAATCTGTGGATAGGATCTCCAGAGTTATGCTATGATCCTATAAAGTACCTGAATTATGAAATCCCACATATAGTTCTGAGCACTGATTTATAAACAAGTGAACTTTACATAAAATAATACATCCAGCATCTTTCAAAACTCTGGCAATTTTTAGTTCAGTAGGTGTTGCAAATCTGTAAGTGGAAAACATTTCTCAAATAATACTTGTCACTTTATTAATAGCTACAGAGACATGAAAATCCAACTGTGAAACCTGATAAGGTTTTTTTTTTTTAAATGCACTATGACATGTATTAGAATTCTTATCAACAATATTTAATTATATCCTATTCCAATTCTTATAAAGAGAAGAAAACTTAGTCACCTGCTGTGCATATTGTGAAGACAACTTGAACTGAATCGAAGAAGAAGAACATTACTAGGAGAGACACAGACGCTCCGATCGGCAGGAACAACGCCTGGGTAGAATCAATGGTTTGAATACCTGCAGAAGAAAGCAAGCGACATTTAACCTGGGCTATTTCTTACCACACGCATATTGTCAGCGTGTCCTCACCAACACAACTGAGGACTGACAATATATTCCATTTCAGTGCTGTTGCAATAGGTGTTTACTCTGGGATCCTCATGCACTACCATACCCATGCACAGCAGTCAGTGTGAGAACACCCCAGCTAAACAGCCTGGCTTTGCAGAACCCAAGAACTGAAAGTTGAAAGAAAATTTATTAATTTTCTCTTGTGCCATAGACAGAATGAATAACAAGTTACAAAAATAATTTCGGGATTAGGAATCATACAGCAATTATATATTTGCTTATTTTACACTGAGCAACATAAATGTGTTGAATAGAGCATATAAAAGTTTTATGTAACCTCTCAGCACGAGGTGAAGAGCCTGACCAGAGCTGCAGACAGTGTTAGGCTGACCGAGCTCATGCAAAGGGTGCAATGGCTTCAAATTCCACTTGGGTGAAGGCCACCATGCACTGAAATTGTATCACTGATTGCAATCACCAGATAACATCAAGCCTAACAATAAAAGGCAGTTTTCAAAAAAACCCACCCAAGCCATTTACCTGTTTATGAAACTATCGACTCAGTTCAGTGTGCACTATAATCGCCTTTTATGCTAAAAACCAACACAAATTCTTACTCACATTTTATAGCTGGAAGCAATTTTAACCCAGTGCAGAGATACTGGAATATTTTATTCTGATTATTTCCCCCACCTCAACCATGCAGTGTGACTACTAGGGATTTTAGTAATAGGACAGGACATTTTTTACTATATTTTACCATGAGTTTTTAGAATTACTAACAAAATTGAGAAGATCAGGCTTTGAAAAGCCCACCTATCCCTGCAAATTCAAATACTTAACCAGTCTCTGTAGCTGTATTTACATTTCATAATGAGTGGGAGGGAAGAGAAGCCGTAAGTAGTAACCCAATTAAAAATACAAGACATACTTATACTTGTAGAGCATTAAAATAACAGGTAATAACATCTGAAGTAGTCACTTAATAAGTAGTATCCAAAATGCCTCTAATGAAAAATTAATACAAGACTCAGACGAGATGAGATCTAAAACCAGGTTAACATCACCGTGCTACCCCAAAATAATTAGACACTGCTGTATGAAGCAGGGTTTCTCCAGTCCCAGGATTTCAAGGATAAGCTTTTAGTTATTAAGCAGAATATCTGTGCACGTGTATGTATGCATGTATAGACAGACATACACATACAAGTATATATACGCACACATTGTTTGTGCATGTGCGTGAGCGTGTGTCTCTCTTTTCTGTGGAAGAGTAGCAAGTTGTCCAAATAACGGGTTACCTACACAACTCATAGTTACTAACGTATCTGAGTATGTCGAAAACCCTCAAACTCGCTACAACTTGGTATCAGAAGTATTTAACCATTTCCATAAAAGAAAAGCTAAACAATGAGCATGGAAGCCATGACACTTTCCCTGTATGGTCATTTATTAGTTCAGGTCATGGATCTATTATTCTTAAACATAAGTAGCACAATAATTTTTAAAAATAAAAAGCAGAAGAACTCATTTACTTGGGATTTCTGTTACTGAGGTCTGGTACAATATAGATAGCCCAGTGATGACAGTGCGAAGACACAGAAATTCCTGTGTTCTAATCTGTGATTTAGATCCAGTTCCTTCTGCTTTGAGGAGCATTTATTCACATACCCTTCAACTTCCCAAGGGAAACAAACACACAAAACAAAACCCCAGAAATGACATACTACAAACCACCTTGGCATATGGGAATTAGTGCCTGCAGTATTAAATGTCAAAGTTCTTAATGTCATTTCTGATCATTTTGACAGCTAATCCCCTTAATGTGCTTACTCCCTAGCCCCAGACTGTCTTCTCTCACTTCCCAGATGCCAAAGCCTCAACTGTTCATTGCTGAATCACCAAACACAGCAACCTCTTTGCTGTGTGTTGTCAACAGCAGTGCTCTGACAACTATGTAAATTCCAAGAGTCTATATTTAAAGAAAAAGGCAAAAATGGCAAGAGACACATACAAAATAATATATATTATTAATTTTACAATTATTAAGCTGTATTTCTTATTTTAAACAGAGCAACCTTGGCATTCAGGGTTTTGTGCACAGGGCTGCTCCCATACCTCACTCCTGTCTTCTAAATTTGCTGAAACTATTCATCCTAGAGCTTCTTCTCAGAATATACCCATGCAAACTGCTGTAAGTTAAACTCAGGTGTGAATTTACAGCACACGGTGTATAATGCATTCCAGGACACTGCGTACAATGCATTCCACTCTAACTGTTCACATACGTATTTTTACCTGCAAAACAGTGCATCTCAAATGGCCAAGCTGCCTGGAATCTATTTATAGATTACAGAGGGGACAATCACCATGTAGGAGCTGACATGCTAATCCCCACTCCGAATAGACTGTGTGTACACACGTACTTTCTTGTCCATTATAAATGAGTTGCCCAAAGCCGTGTGAACTCTGTACTTCCACTTCTCTATTGATAAAGCTGAATCATCCTTAGGGACTTGTGAGCATACCCTGAGATGTTTCATCGCTTACGGACTGGCTAATACATCATAGTGACACAGTCCAGACAAAAAGAAATTAGATTCCCTTCTCATAACTGTGTGCTTTGGGTTTTTGGTTTGATTGGGGTTTTTCTGTTTTGGTTTTTTTTTTTAAAAGTAAAGCAATTTCCATTTCCAGTGAAACCTGAGAAATTGTGCAGCATACAATTTCTATGCATTATTGAAATGTTACGTTGTTTTAAATCCAGCTTTCACGGGCATGAACGAGATAGCAGTATTAGTGCGTAGCAAGGTAAGTAAATGCTGAGGCAAAACAGTTCCATTGTATCAGGTGAATCAACAACCCACATAGCTGAAACACATGGATGGCTGAAACAAAAAAGATGCAGCACACTGAAGTGATGAAAGAAAGATAAGGAGTAAAGCTAACCCTTACTGTTATTGGTGCTGTTGCCATTAAAAGACCCAGCTGCGCTGCTATTGTCTTTCTCTTTGTCTTGATTCTCAAAGTCCATGTTAAGAGACCTGCAGGAAACAAAGCAAACTTAACAGGCAAGTTTCAAACTCCTGTTTAGGTGCATCAGCTATGGTTTCATTACCGTCCTACCACAGCACCCTCTCCCTGAAAAAGCTGGTTATTAGAAAAAAAACACCATACACACTGGAAAATAGTAATTAAAAAATGCTTATAGTTACGGGTGAGGCATCAAATCACACAGGTTCTAATAGTGAGACTCGTCACCATAGTGCCTGAACTGGCAAGCGTTAACAACAAATCACAACAAAGATACTTATCTGCATTACTGGCAAGTGTCGAAAATGATGGAAATGAAATGAACATTTCAGTTCTCTGATGTATATGAACTCTTTCCAAGTTCTCATTTCGATCCTTTTAATTCAAATTTAACTATCAGGTTTCATTTTTAAAACAGTATTATTTCCTTCCTCTAAATCTTGTTATGAATGATGACCAAAACTAGCTTACAAGTACTTTTCTGCTGAATGTAAGGTCTTACTTAATTGAAAAAGTTTCAGCAAAGCCTAGAAAGTAACCAGACACTTATTTTAGATACAGGCAGAACAGATGACGAGAGGAAGCTCTGAATGAATAGTACAAATCAATACAACTTAGTTCATCCGTAGGAGCTGACAACATTCCCCTATGTACCTCAACTCTAAGTGATTTATCTTTTCATTTTGATATACACGCTTTAGAAAAATTTAAAAAATAACACAGCATTCTATCCCTTTTGTTACAGTATTTGAGTCTGGTATATATATATAATTTATATTAATTTATATATAAATTATATTTAACAAATTTTGACATAACTTTCTGAAATGGGGGAATTTAATTTAAGGTCTGCTTTGGCCAGTAATAATTTCTATTGCTAAATTCTAGGTTATTTTATATAAAAATACTAGCAATCAATTTTACTATGATAGTTTCTCATTCTGATACACGTGTTATCTATGACTTAGCTGCAGATTTATTTACTCAAATAAGCTGTAGAGAAGCACTGTACAGCTCCTGTCTTGTGTCTGCAGCAGCATCAAATACCAAGTATTTCAGTAAAACTTCCAGGTCAACAGGCATTACACTCCTTTTCAAGGTGAGCTGTGACCAATCATACTACACAAAGTAAACAAATTCTATTGATTTGTCAGACAAATAAAAAATACACCGCAGTCTTCTATACAATTCTATAGGCATTGAAGTTATTTCATTTTAGTGTATAGGTTACCTACTGCAATGCACAGGTGAGCAATTTTGTGCTGCATGCAGTCATACAACCTGAAATCAAGAACATATATTGTCTATATCACCGAGACAGGTGTGGTGTGTTAAAGAAAGAGGGGTTGAGCAGTTTCACTGTATAAACCAGAAACAAAAAAAAGGCTCTTCCAGTCTAAAATGGGTTTGTTTCTTCTGCTTCTATTACGCAAGTGCTCCCAAAGAGTGGTATGAAAGTAAAGCAGCTTTTGGGCTCAGGCAAAATATGAGGAAGCTTCAGCCTCAGACATACAGTACTTCTACACAGATTGTGGATCATCAACCAAAGAGTTACCAAAAATACAAAGAGGCGATGGAGAACACTACAGTTCTAACAAATGAATCTGTTCTTCTTAGTTTGTTCTTCTAAAGAACCCTCTGCTCTGCATCTTGTTTGGAGTGCCTTTATCCTTCATTCACGCTTCCTTTTTCCCCATTAATGCATTGTAGCCTCATAATTTTCCCCTCAAGCTATAAAAATCCAGGAGGAGGCTGACAACCCTCCAGGACATGATCCAAGATTCCGCCAAACAAGATAATTCTTTTCTCAGAGCAGCATTTCGTTCCCTCTCTGAATTAGCACAGTTTAGCAAAGACTTCATACCATCATTCTCCCAGTGGCATCAGGCAACTCATAATTTAAGGGATTGCTATCAGCAAATAAAACTGGAAAGAAACATTAGAGCTACTGCTCATAACAACTTCAGCCCTTTTTCCTTCATTGCAACAGTGTCAGCAATTATTACATTATTACCTATAAACATCCCTACCTCAAAAGTTAAGCATAAATTAGGAAGTTACTTTCACTTAGCAACACAAGCTGCTCCAAGATCCAAGACAACTTCTGAATAATCTCCAATCATTTTATGATTTGGCCCTTCCCTCTGCTACAAATTATCACTAACATAATAAAAAAAATTGAGAAGCGATCACTAAAATATCCTCCAAAAAATTTAAAAATTATACTGTAAAAGAAGATATACTGAAAACTACTGGACTGTAAAGAAATCACAAGCTGAGAAACATTTGCTTTTTGTTCAAGTTTCTGCTGGGCTTCCAAAGGCAACATTGAGCCAGCACCTCCCATGGGGCAATAAACTACACAGTTGTTTCTTCTGCGGGTCCTCACAGTTCGAGTTGGTAGGATTTGTAGCACAGTGTTTCAAAGCAAGCGCGGCTCAGGCTCCCACAGGGAACCACTCAGTAGGGTTACATTCAGGCCAAAGGAATGAGTAAGCTGCTGGCACATCATTATCATGAAAGTTCACATTCAACTATGGATCACTTCCACTGCAGTAATGCTCCGGGGGAACCCTGCAGGAGAATATTCTTATGAAACAATGGAGGAAATATGAAAGCAAGTATGTATCTATAGAGCCGCTTGCAGATGCAATATATTCTTGCTTACTTAGTGAGGACAGTCACCCCTCTTAACAGCTCTGGGACTATGAGACTTGTGGGTTGCCACAGAATTGCCAGATTTCAATTGCTCTAAATAAAAAATTACAAACAGAATCAGTCATTGATCTGAGACAGTTTAATTCAATCAAATCTCAATGCTTATTATAGAGAGCCTAAAATATGGTGCGTGCTCTAACATTGCTATAGTCGCTTATAAAACACTGCTGTGAAATTCAAGGACAAGTTCCAATGCAAAATCTGGAGTGGGAATAAGAATAGGGGAAACAATAGCGGAAAGTGCATGTAAAAATGTTCTTGCTGCCTAGATGGAGTAAGAATGCCCCAGTCCCACGTCTCTGATAAGAACATCTCACCTTCAGCAGCTATTTTATGTGCACCCACTTGTGAGTGCAGACAACTTTTGTACCATTTGGTGAGAAGGTCTGTCCAAATCCCCGATTCTACCCTGCCAGGGCTGCGGCTGCAGGTGCTTGTGAACTCCACAGCCCTTCTCTAAATGTTATTGTGACATATGTATCCTGATTTCTGTAAATGTCAAGCCATACAGCCAACCATAAAGCCCCTATTTGAACTATTTTTTTGTTTACACAAATATTTTAGGTACCCAAAGCCTACAGATAGAAGACACCAGTTTCATCCCATCATTCTTGGCTTGGTTTAAAAGCAGATACTTGAACAGGTAGATTCTGGGTTAAAACAGGCTTTACATAAGCTGAGAGACCATGTCTGAGTATGTGATAGGATAGAAAAAGATTTAGCTGTTACCTGCCTGCAAAGTAACCCCAACATTTAAATCACAGAGAAGCACTTGGCAAGACTAGGCGGCTGTCCTGCAAGAACCCACAGGAAACAATCTGTTTCAAGCTAAGCTCACCTCTTTAAAAAAAAACGTAACTAACACGTACACTTGCATGCTCCAGTTTACAGCTTGTAACACTTCAAAAGATTACACTTGCTCCTTTGGTAGTCAATGATAAAGTATATCGAGTTCAAGGACTGAGAGACAGGCAGAATGTATATGGGAGAGATGTTCAGAAGGGCTTGAAGGGGTAACTCCTGACCCAGCACAGATGTAGGAAGGAAACACTTGTTCGTTCACAGTAAGAGAAGCAGGAACTCAGCTCTATAAACTTCATTCTGGATGCAGACTTTACCCATGGTCTGTTAGACATTCTTCTGAACATCTTGGGGGTTTGGGGTTTTGTTTGTTTCAGTTTTGGACAAATGAATAAGGACAGTGGACCAAGGCTTTCCTTTGTTCCCCTGAAACCTCTTGCATTAGATTAGATTCACCATGCACGTGGGTTTTATCCTAATGACTCACCCACCCAATTCTTTCTGATCCTATTACTGCACTTGTGTTTAAGTCACCTCCCAGCAATACCACAGTAACTCTATTTGCTTCTTTTCAGACTGAAAATCAGAAACCAAACCCACTTTCTGCAACATGAAGGTTAGGCCTGTTTTCTTTTTGTCTTACAACAGCTCCATTTGAGGCAAAGCACTCAAATCTAGATGGAGACATCATTGTTGCCATTTCAGAACAAGCGCCCTAAGCCGTCTTTCAAGGCAAGTCACTTTTCTAAGAAAATCCACCCACTTTGCCAGAAGTTTTTATTTTACTGCTTTAGCAATTTCCAGATGAATGTAATTTTGCAATTTACTACCATACTTGAATTTTTTAAATAACTTAATTGTATTGTAGACCCCTTTGTTAACACCACCATACTATCTTCTGAAAAAATGGCTTTTGACCTTGCTTGCTGGCCAAACAGAATGGGAATTTGTCCAAGTCACCATCATAACTGTGGGTTTCAGCTCAGACATCTGCTAACAGAATTACATATAGGAAATGAATTAGGAAATTAATTTTAAAACTATGGGACCCTATTTTGGTCTGTAATAGCTAACAGTTTGCATCCTGGAGTCTTCTGGAAGCGGACTAGAACAGGGCATTTTCTCAATTGATTTGTATCCATTGCCATTCCACTACTTCATGCAGTAAGTTAGATTATTCTGAAGTTTGCAGTCCTTGTTATGTGAGCAGTTTTAAATGTAAATCATAGGATGAGATGGTAAAGAGTGTGTGTATATAGGAATAGGATGGCAAACAGCAGGGGAAAGTTTTTAAGAGCAAGGAGCTCTGAGAAGGGCAGGCAATTTAAGTTCAAGCACTCCTGCTGGTTTATATCACATTATGTTTTCACAATTGAATTTTAATAAATGCTATGGCTTCTTGCAGCCAGATGCATAGTTCCTTTTTACACAACTGCATAACTTCAAATAGTTAAAAGCTGGATCAGTCCCTCACCTATATGCTAGGCTGACTCAAAATTTGAAGAAATAAATACTACCTTTTATTTATTTTTTTTTTAAATTTTCATCATCTCTAGATTTTGTCCTCCTAAGGCCTTCTATTTTAATTCCATCAGCAGTGCTGTTGCCTAATACTCGCTAGCAACAACAGACAGCTCTTCCCAAAAATTGGCTCTTTCATGATATGATTTTATTAACTTATGAAGGCAATTTAAAACCTCTTATCCTAACAGCTGCGACTTACATCATATGTATGACCATGGCTAACATCTATTTCAGGAATACTCATAGCAGTTCAGAAACTTCATACTGAATGTATAGCCTTTTACCACAGACTTGTTAAATGAAGCAATGTTCTTCAAGGAACAGGAAGAAAAACATGCTGTACTTAAAAAAAATAATAATACTTTCATGCTGTGGCTATTATTTTTTTTAAATGTGTCAGTATGAATCTCATTCCTTAGGTGCCACTACATTAAAACAAACTGTATAATACAAGCTGCAAGTCTAAAGGGACAACAATGTTTCGTCTGAACTGTACTCAAGTCTCCTAGAGTGGGGCAAATCTGATTTTTGAAGATTCAAACTTATCCTGCAGCAGTTCTCAGGCACTTTACTGGAATTTAACACTGATGGTGTTTCCCACTTCTCTATTGAGCTGTTACTCACACTCAAGTAAATAGCTTTGGGACTCAGGAATCTCTACTTTACAAGACTCGTTTGCAATTACAAGGACATGCTGAATCGACCACTGAAACATTATACATAAAATTCTACCATTGATAACATTACATTCCTATCTCTCTCGACAATCCTTTTATATCCTACAAAATACAATTTTGCAGAGTTGTTTTCAAGGACTAACTTCTAAGTTATATGTGCTTATAACTTGACATACAATTATGTCTTTCAGAAACCCTTCTTCTTTCAGAAGCAAGAAATATTTCATTTACATTAGCCATCAGTCTGACAAAGATACAATGAAACAGGAGGCATAACCATAAACTGTATTCAGTCACTCGCCTTATTTTTATTTGAAAAAGAAAAATTTTGCAGAACCTTAAAGAAAAATCTTACCTGAAACTGCCGTAGACTATGAGGAGAATAGAAATCAGGAAAGTAGACACTTGACTGGAATCCACAAGGGAATATGCCCTGGAATTAGGAAAAAGAAGGTAGGTGTGTCATGACAAGTGCCCATTCCTCCACTGCCACTTGCTAATTCTTTTTCTTATTATAATACAAATGGAAATTGGATGACAAATCTTTATGGCAGCTCTTTCTAAAGTTCTCGTATCATCTAGGAATATAAAACCTGTAGCTTGTAAATTAACTTTTTATACTCAAGACTGCCGTATGTAAAATCTGTACAATCACCAAAGGACAATTCCAAATCCTTGTGGTAATTTGTTCCGAACTCACCGCATTCAGATTTTTTTTTTCTCAAACACTTTAAAATTGCTTCAGTTTTAACTAATGCAACCTTGCATCTAAGTAACACCAACCTGCTTTCTGTAAGGCTTCTTAGCTGATAATAGTTAAGTTGCAATACGGTTGTCAAGGTTTACTTAGTCCAGGAAAAAACAAAACAAAACCCCACCCCCCACAACAAGCTGCGATACGCATTTATTAAACCACACACAATTACT